GAAACTAACTCGAATTGAATCGATTTGTTGGTGACAATAATAACAAAAGAAACTGAGAATTATTTATCTTTTTTTAATTGTATTTTTATCAACAGCTGCAACGTTCGTGTTTATATGTGTCGAGTTGACATTTATTTCACGATTAAGAAAGTAGATAATAGGCAACTATGGGTCATTCAATACTCGAGACACAATAATGTCTGTTGAACGTCAAACCTTCTGCAAAGGAAGGAAATGTGGCGTGTTGCCAGACAATAGATACATACGTCTCTTTAAAAAAGTAGTATTGACGGAAACAAATCATGAGTGGCACGAGGCGAGAAGTATTATCTGTGCTTTTTTTGATTGATGATCGGTGTGAACTTTTCATATACAAATCAATGACGGAAATATGAACGTCCTCTTTAGATTATTCTTTATCAAATATAATAGATTTCGATCATTAAAAATAAACTGTTTCATGAGAAAGATCTTCTTGTTGTAAGACAAAATACTGAAATATTGAACAATAAAGATTAATGATTCTATTGAAGTAGAAATTTATAATTTTGAATTGTATCAATGCAATAAATTAGAATAAAATAAAGCTTTAAATTTATCAATAATCTGAATTGTTACAATGATTTTAATCAATGCTTTTTTCTAACAGTGAAACACGTTATATGATGAACAATTTCTAGCGGGTGTCGTAGATTAGATGGTACAATATCATTTCTTTTTTGGCGGTCATGAGGGAACTCTACCTACCGATAACGTGTGTTCAGGCTCATATTTTACTGATTGTTAGGGTCTATTGTGAAGATAAACGTTCAAAGAAGATATATATGCCACTAGCACTTTCTTGAGTTATGATTATTTTATTGACTCTTCAGTCTATTTCAGGATATGACGAGAAAAACTCAACCAAAAAAAACTTTACCTGTACATACATATATATAATAGTTTCTATAATATACTGGAAGTTTCAGGTCAAATGGATGGTCTCTTCGTAAACTATTTTATACTCAAAAAAATCGGATACTGGGAGCAATTAACGAATTTACAATTCTATTATCTTGTAATAGAACCATTCGTTTTTGTTAAAACTTTCAGGATGTTATCAGGATTAGGAGATTTATATACAAGTAAAATTTCTTGATATAGTTTTCTTCGTAATATATTCTGTAATGGGCTGAAGACTCATTATAATGATCATAACTCAAGAAGAAAGGGTAAGAGTATGTATGTTCTTAGAATCTTTATTTTATAATGAACTATAAGAATCAGCAAAATATGAACTTGAATAGATGCTATTAGTCGGAAGAATTCTATTGTCAGATATGTTTTCAGAAAGTCATTCGATACAAATTTTTTTTCTGTAGAAAACTATTGCATTTTTTTTGTTGAAGCAACATTTATAATATTCATATGTACTGAATTGTCTAACAGCGATAATCAAAAAATGATGCAAATATTTTTAACAACAGTTTTCTGAAATGACAAGCAGACTACCACGTTCTGTATCTTTTGGTATATGTTTTATAATTCGATGATCATCATAAAGTAAAGACTAGAAAAAAGCATTGTCTTACAGAATCATGTGATTATTCTTTTCATTTCGATAGAGCCTAATTGTTTGTACTCATTAACTTAAGAGTCAGAACATTTTTGTTCAAAATTAAACTGAAAAATATCTGTATGTTTTATTCTCATGAACGATCACACCGAGAACTTTGAAAAGATCGTAGAAGCAGAGAGCACAAAATTGTCTATGCATTATGGCACTGACTACGTTAAATTTTGGATTGGTTGTCATAAACAAAGACTTACTGCAGAAATTCACAGTTAGATGATTGAACAAACGTTTATATTTTTAATTTTGCTTCAACAAGAAAAATTTGTTTGAAAAACAAACAAAACAGTTACGTAGAGTGAAAAATTCTCTATCGGATAAATTACTGAAAGTGGATCAGAATGAGCTTGAAAGAAAAGAAAATTATATTGTCCCATTTAATCTGCGTCACTTGTTAATGTTCTTATTCATTCCTGCTTTCTCATGTAATTGATCTTTATAACATATTGCTACTACTAGTTTTTTTTTGTGTACTTTTAGCGATACTTAAAGAGCATATACATGATGAAAAGCAATGTAAAATACATTGACAATTATCGAGAGAACAAAAGAAAACATTGCATGTTCCTTGAGTATTTCGCAATACTCATAAGAGACTGTGCAATATCTGTAAAATGATTAATTGATGAATCACTATTGACATATATTAAACAAATAGCGATGGCGTTATTGCACAATCATAACTATTTATTTATTTAAAAAGTATTGTTTTATTATAGCCAACCAATTATTCAAAATAATATAAGATGGCAACTTCGTATAATTCTTCTACTAAACAAACCCCTCAACAAAATACAAATAGTTCAATGAATCAATCATTATCTATATATGTTGGAAATCTTTCATTTAATACTATTGAAGAAGATTTAAGAAGATTTTTTAATGATATATGTGGCAATGTCAAACGAGTACGTATTATCTATGATAATAATACACATCAAAGTCGTGGTTTCGGTTTTGTGTATTTTAATACAGTTGAAGCATTTAATAGTGCACTTCAACTTCAAGATTGTCAATTAGATGGACGAGAACTTCGAATTGCACTAGCCGAAGCAAAAAGTTCTTCATCATCATCTTCTTCTGCTTCTACTAATACAAATACAAATAAATCTGCTAATGTTACCAGTAGTGTTGTATCTCAAACAACAAATAAACCAAGGACAATAGTAGTACATTGCAAAAAATCAAATTATGATGTTTATATAGGTCGACCCTCGGATTGGGGTAATCCGTTTGTTATTGGTAAAGATGGTGATCGAGCAGATGTTATTGAAAAATATCGTAGTTGGATAATGCGTCAGCCGGATTTATTAGCTCGAGCTAAAAAAGAACTTCGTGGTCAAAGAATTGCGTGTTGGTGTAAACCAGAAGCATGTCATGGTGATATTCTTGCTGAAATAGCTGATACTGATTAATTAAAATAATCATTATGGTTTCTTTTTTAAAAATTATTTTTCAAAAGAAATATATCATTGATTTAAATGTTCCCTTAGTTTTTTTGACTCAATTGGTTTATCTATCATTTTACACCTGATGGAATAAAATTTTAATAAATTTGATATAAATCGTACTTGTTTATTGAATGAAATAAAGATCTATTTATGGTATTAGTAACAAGATTTCATAATGATTATCAAAATATCTGTTAGTTTAAGGAGATCATCCAGCTCTTTTGCAACCATCAATTTTTTTGTCTGCTTTATATACACTTTGAAGAATTTGCTATGTACTGGAAATAATTCAAAAATTAATATATATCTACAAAAGTCAAACAATCCTAAAGAACGAAACACATTTGCTGATAGGAAAACATTAATACCTCATTTCGTTATGTTTTGAAAATTGAGTTTTGGACGAATGTGAAGAATTATTCTCGTTTTTCAAACACCGTACATCCAATATAGCTGAAATTATTTTCTTTTACTTAAGCTAGCAAATATTTAGAGCACCAAAATGTTTTTGTTATTTCAAACTATGATTTATCGGTGGTTTAGGCTAGGATGTACGAAAGAAAAAGTGCATTTTTTGGAGTTATTCTTAGTATTTTGATCTTTTTATTTGAATGGAAGGAAGGGAAAAAGAAATTAAATAACAGGAGGCATCCCAAGCCGTGTCTAGTATCTGTAAAAAACAAAAGATTCATGTCGGTCAGACCTATTGCAATTGAGAGAGTAGAGCGGGCTCAATTTCTCATAGAAGAAAGTATTTGAGAACTTTGTGTTTAGGATAAGTTTTGCTCTACTTACTGATATCTATCTATTCAGAAAGTTTCAAATGTTTTTTAACATTTATTCTGCTCCAATACTGGAAACATGACAGGGCTGATCTAATCTTCGTAACTTTTGATAATATCAAAGATTTTTAAATTAAATAAGAGGCAAAAATAGGTAAATAAGATATTTTATTCTTATTGTTATGGCCAATTGACATCTGACATTCAGAAAAAAGTTAAGATAAGAAAAAAAAGAACTTAAATCAACAAACATTGTCTTTTACTGTTCTTTCATCTTGACATTTTTAAGACTTCTCTTTTCAGGATAAGATACACTATGTTACTTTTTTTTTTTGGATAATTTATTTATAAATGACTTCGATTTGATTACGAAATTCCTATGAAATAGTTAGTGTCAAATGAGAAGAATTCATATCATGATATTTGTCTTCATCATTGAAAAATGACTAAAAACATGAGATAAAAATGGAATGTAGTTATGTTACTTGATATAACCATGTTTATTCAGCGTCTTCTTAAGGATATTACTAATAAATGAGAGACATCTAATAAGTGTCAGAATCTGTTCTTGTCAGCTGGAAAAACAATCAAAACAGTTGTAACGGGTTAAGTTCTTTTTACTAATAGCTAAGCATATTTATCTCCTACGCTTAATTTTTTATACTAGAATTTATAGATGGATTAAATGATAAGGTTTAATCTTGAAAAAATTTTTAACGAAGGTCTGTCTATCGATTAATATTTTTTTTCTTTTTTTTGTATTTGATATTGGAAATATTAATTATTGTTAAAAAATGTTTATCTCTTTACATAGAGATCTATTATTTCTGAGTGCCATTTTTCTATTCTTGAGGATATTTATCTAAACTTTATGGTGGCTACTATTGTCCTGTTGTGTTCTTTTTTTTCCCATTTATACATATACATTTATACATCAACATATTCTCAGCTAGTCTGACCGAGAGGTGAAGCTAAAAAGAGAAATGATGCTCGTAGAGTATAGTGTGCTGATAACATCTGAGAGAACAGAAAATAATGACGACCAGTAGTAGTAGTATCAACCGTGGCAGTCATAGTCATAATAATAAAGAGCATATACGTAACGGTAAGGAGAAATAGTCGAACATACAGATCCCTATTGATTACATAAAAACAATGATGGATGTTCAAGAAAGAACAAATGTAAGATTTCTTTTTTTTTTATGTATTTGCATGTCTTTTCTTCAGTATCCAAGATCTTTTATTATTACATATATAAATATGATAATGTCGAAAGAGAAAAATAAGAAAGTTTGCTAATCGAATTTGGCGATAAACGAAGACAGTAAGAGCAAATATCATTTCTGTTTCTCCTCAGCAGGATTCTAAACTTGTTTTATGTATTACGGTATTGATAAGCGATAAGCGAAAAAAAAGAAGAGAGTAGTGTTTTGCTCCTGCTGGCCGTTCTCCCATTTAAGACAATCACTTATTTAAAAGTTGCAGTACATTTAATAAATGAAACATTTACTTAGACGATTCATAGTGAATATATGATAATGTGGTTTTTCAATAGACAGCGAACACCCCGAATGGTAAAAATTTTACTTCTTTTTTTTTTTTTTAAACATCGATACTTTAAAAACGGGAGACACAAGAATACGACAAACATTTTTTGTTATTCTTCTGCTACGAAAACATTTTTTCAGGTTTTTTTTTTTTTATTTCGTTTGCTTTTTTCTTTATGTCATTTCTTCTGCTCGTTTGATTTGTCATTAATATACTTCAAACAAACTAACATACTGTAGAGTAAAAATGTAGATGACGATAGAAAAAGAAAAACTAACAAAGTAAATAAATATTTGAGGCAACTATTCACTTGCACACATTATCTTAATGCGTACTAATAAGTAATAAAATAACGAAGAGTAGCAAAAATCTTATATGCATATGTAGGCAATATATACATTCGCACCTTTAATCAATTCATATAATGAGACGCAAAATAAAAAAAAAGAAAGAATCATATACATATGGAAAAATATTGACGTATATTGTTTGCAATCGTTCGCTGATAAATTAGTTTATATAAAATAAAACAAATGAGAAACTGCATTATAATACGAACAATTTTATGCTTGTAAATTTTTTTTATAACTTTACTACAAAGAATATTGTATATACTGTTGTTACTTTGACAAAAACATAGTACTATATGTATGAAAGAAAAACATGCATATCTATACATTGTATTTAAAAGGAATAATAGGGATGATAGGATGATTCATTAACTGAATGCACAGAAGAATAAAAAAAAAAACTATACGTTCTTCTGACTGGACGTGTGTATAACTATGTAACATCATTGTTACACCTACTATCTACTTTTTTTTTTCGCTTGTCTCCTTGTGCTGAAGGATGGTTATTATTATCGAGTCACTCGACTATTGTTAAGGTAATAGTTGTTTCGATTTTTTTTTATTGTGTCAGCGATTTGTTTGATAGCGTAGTTTCAATTTCTGATTTTTGTTGTTGCTTCTGTTTCTATTAGTACAACCTTGCAGGTGTCTTTAAATCGTATATGTATTAATAAAACGAATTGTTTCAATATTATGTGAATTTTTTTACTTTACAGAAACTATAAAGAATCTTTGCAGAATAAATTAATTCAATAAAAAGAAAAGAAACACATGATAATAGATTGATAAACTTTGAACTGATTTGAATTATAATTGATAGAATCTTCTATGTTATTTATATCATGAATATTTCTAATTTGACTGTTTATTTTTCAAATAAACTCTTATTTTAAAAATGGATGCTTCTTTTCTGTAGTACAAAAGTATCTTACATCACTTAAAATTCGAAAGATGTCATTAACTGTATTTAAAATAAAATGATAATAATTTCCGTTATTTTCAAATTATTTTAGCTTTTTTCATATTTCTAATACAATAAGTATTCAAAAAGAAAATGATATTATTCAATTTTGAGATATAAAAATTTTTCGAATTAATACCAAAAAAAAAATATTCTGAAAATGAAAAAAAATGAAATAATTCTCGAACAATTCGCATAGGTATTACAATTTTTTCTCAGTTCTTTTTTTTTCGTTCTTATTTGTTCCATTTTTTTTACACACATATGTGTGTATGTAAAGTCTCCAAATCACATTTCAATACCATGAAACGTCGAATCAGTAGTAATAGCAAGAGCAGCAGCAGTAGTTTTAATAGTGTTGGCAGCCACGACAATTCCGATGTAGAGTTACTTTAAAAAAATTAATTAATTGTTTTTGATTTAAATTTATTACAAAATATCTAAATATTTAGGTCAACTTTGACGACGCACAATCATCATCAATACCAACATCAATGGATAAAGAATATTATCGACAAGTACCGTATAGATTTTTTAACAATGAATCAAATACAGATGCATGTAAATTGGAAAAATTAACTAATTTATTTCCTGATATGAAAGAAATTATTGAATTAGGTATCATTAATTTATTTTTGAATAAAAATAAAATAAAATATCTTTTTTTTAATATGTTTTAAAAGAATTATTTAAAACGAATAATTTAACACGTACAATCGACCGTCTTTCACGTATATATACAGTTTTAACAGCCCTTGATATTCGTGATGATACGCTACATTTATTTCTTGGTCCATATCATCTTTCACTTGGTCCAGCATTATTTGCAGCGCTTCATTTTAAAAATGCTTCAGCAGCATTACTTACATCATCAAATCTAATAACAACAGGTAATAGTGAAAATCAACGACGTAAACGTCGACGCGAAATTATACTTCGTCGATTTCGACGTTCTGTACGAAAATTAACTCTTGTTAAATCAATTATTGATCAACTTCGAACAGCTTCGATACTTACACCATACAATCAATATGAATTACATACACAAGGAATTTATGATCTTGTATTAGCTGGACATACACAATGTTCTAATTCAACACTTATTAATGATGATTTTCTAGAACAATTACGAAACTTTAATGCCGTAACAAGTGCTGGAGAACGAAGTCCTTTACTTGCATCAAATTTTATTAAAATACATAATATACTTAGTCTGTTGTCGTCACCTCAACAACAACAACAGCACCAACATCAACAAGTACAAGCAGTAGATAATAGTATGACAATAGCAAGTAGCAATTTGATACGAGTTCCATCAAATGAATCAATTACAAATGCAACAACTAATAATGATCCTGTTGGTTTAATAAATTCTACAACAGTATGTTGTCCAGTTCATGATCCAGCACAACCTTATGTGATGTTCCCTGTTCGTTCACCAATGAGTCCTCAACCTGGCCAAATTTTATCATCAGGAAATCGTTCAAGACGCCTTAGTAAGGCTAATTCACTAAAGAGATCATCTACTATTTCAAGACAAAATACGGTATGTTACATATATAATATATATATATATACATGTATATACATATGTAAAATACATAAAATCTCATCGTGCAAACATACGAGAAATGTAACGAATACTTTGAGTCTCATTTTCTAGTGATTATATTATGTTTGTGTCTAGCATACAAATATGTAAAGCATTCATAGGTCTCTTTTTCTTCTCTATTGATGTACACATACGAATAGAGACAAATGATCTCCTTTGTCAATTAGTCCTTTTGCTCATATATCCTGTTCCGTTTTACCATTATTACGTAATTTGAAAGAAAAGTCTAATCAAACAGGTTATAGTTTTTTTCTTCCGTTTTACACAATAGGTCAATAGTTTGCCTGACTCGACTACTGGTGATGATTCTCATTCAGAACAACCAACAGCCAGATCAGTATTGACATCAGCACAATCAAACCCCTTAGAAACTGAATTAGATATATCAACAAATGTAATAGCAGAACATCTGTTTGCTTCATCTCCTCTTTTCTCATCATCGCCGACCATTAGTGAAGATGATGCTCTTGTCAATCGTATTTCATCTATTTTAACAAGCCACTTGTTATCTCGCCAATTCACATCTACAACACTGATAACATCTAATATTGCTCATGAAAACGAGACCAATTCAAATTTAAGCGATAGCGCTATTTCTCTTTCAACTGGTGGCACAACAGGAGGAATAAGTAGTGCTGTTACATATAATCAATTGTCACCATCAATTGTCGCCAACGACATTGATAAACTTTTACAACGTATTAAAACAGCTGTTGATAACAGATTGTCAATTGAAACTAATAGCAATAATCGAATGCGTCAACCAAAAAACAATCATCGAAATTTGTCATCAAGTCCTATAAGAACAGCAACAAACAATCGTCGTCAACAATTACTTGCATTACATGCTGTATCATGTCAAGAAAGACATATAGATGATTATGATGTAGAACATTCTACACCATCTAATAACAAATACAACTTGGATTTTTCATCAAAATCACAATCCTTCGATGCGACCACCTTAAGTAAGTATTATCATAAAAGCTTGACATTTATTGCGCTTGAATTTATAATCTCATTCTAACAAGAATAGACTATGTACATTGCTTAAGTAAATATGGGCTTTCTGTTGACCATATACTTGTATATGTTAAGCTCAATAAGGGTGTTGGTTGTGGCTATTGCCTGATTTAAATGGTGGGCTAATGATGCTAGAAAAAAAAAACAATACGATACAATCATTTCATTAATTTCTATGCATCGTCTTTTTTTTAGTATAATCAACGTCAAAGTGTGAATCGGAGTATAACTCAACATGATCCTTGTCTATTGGTTAATTTTTATTTCAGCACATTAACTTCGTTTCTTTTTTTTTGTTTTATATTTTTTAATATATATTCATTTTTTTTTCTCGCATCTGGTCTCATTCTTTCATTCATACGTTCTGTCATTTAATCGACGATAATAACCTTGACTTGTACTAGTATTTGATAGACATCGATAACAGTAAGGGTTGCACCGTATTGTTAATGTGAATATATTTATCAATGTAGCAATATTGGTTCGCTTTCGATTCGGTTCTAATAATAAATAAAGCTCTATGAAAATAGAAAAAAAACCTCCATACTAATGTCTTCTTCCCATTTCTCTTTTTTTTTCCTTTTGTATTCTAACTAAAGCACTTCATACATAGAGAGTAAGAACGAGAGAATAAGAAAGATGAAGGTGTCAAAACACATCGAGTCTAATTGCACCATCACATAAAGTAAGACATCGTTCTATTAGTAATGTATGTATGAAAGTGATTTTGATCAATGGATTGAAAAGTTTGCTTCATTGATTGCAAGTTCATCTTATACCATTACACAACTATTTGTTTGACAACAATAGAATAATGAAAAAGATGTACATATATGTAAGTTCTGACACATATGATGTGTTCGTCATCAATTTATTGATAAAAGGCTTCATTTTATTTACGAACACGTTCATACATACATATATATAATTAAATCCGATCAAAATCGATATCATTTGTACAGTAAAATAGAAGATGAAATTCGTCTCTTTTTTTTCTTGTTTTTAATATGATTTTCTTATTGGTTATATCGATCTTGTTTACCTGTCAGGTATATTATACTTAAATATTCATCATGTCATCATACAAATATGTTTACCAGAAAGAACAATGATAATCTTGTTGTTATTTCATATTCTGTTCTTTTTTTCTTTACTACGCCACTACATACTTACATATGTGAGTTGTGCATTAGTTAATGTTTTATTGCCCATGACATATATATGAGCTCGCAGGTAGTAAAAAAAATCTGTGTGCAAAACAAAGGAAAAGTAAGCATTATAATATGCACACATCGAGAGAAAATTGTATTACGTATTACTCTGTCATTGATCAAAATTTTTCACTTAGACTCGAAAAGAGAATTGAAGAAAAGAATAAAGAAGAAAAAAAAAATGACTAATCATTATATCTGTTGTAGATAACCGTAATGCGACAACAACAATAACAACTATAGATACAAGCAATAACATTTACGAAATGGTAAGAACGACATTCTTTTGAGGAAGATGACTTTTCTTTTTTTATAAAATCTTTTAGACGACTTTTCATTCTGATGATAAAAGTGTTCAAACTGATCCTCGTATTCGACATGCTCGTTCAGTAAGAACAAAATGCTCTTTTTTATTAGTTAATTAATTAATTAATTAAAATGTGTTTTTGTTGTAGAAATTATTAGAAACATTACAAGCATATGTAACGGCTGTTGTTCGTTATCGTCAACATTTATTTAAACAATATACTCAATCAAATACACATTATGAACAACATTATAATACAATGCCTGAATTACAACAATATGAATATCGAGATTTAATTAATGTACGAAAAGAAATTCTTAATCGTTTCGAATGGGTTATTAATGAACTTGAACAAACAATCGAAAATCTACAAGCACGTCGATTATCAGTTGCTGATGCTCAGCGATCTATTGATCGACCGTTAGTTAAAGAAGTATGTTAATTAGATTCTATTTATCATAGTAATATTAATTTAAAATTATTTTTTATTTTTTGTTAATATTCTTTGTCTTATTATTCGATAAAGCATAAGAAGAAAAATTTATCATTTGTAAAAAAGATACGAGATGTTTTTTTTTTCAAATATTGTTAGGTAATTGAATCATCTCTCAATGCCGATCTACCACCTGTTGATGAACATCAAACAAATATAAATGATCGACAACGACCTACGCCAAGTGAAGATGAATGGCGATTGTATGCACGTGATTTACAAGATACAAAAGAAGATTTATATTTTATTAATTCACTTGTTCATCGTGGGATCTCTAAGGTTTGTATTTTTTTTTAAATAAAATATTTCAAAATAATGTTATCTTTTCTTATTTTCGTAATTAGATTGATCGATTGGTAACATTTACAAATCTCTATACATAGTTCATGTATTGATCTGATGTAGTTATATATTTCTTGTGTTTATTACTATTTTGTACATTTATTCCTGTTAGTCAGTTTAGTTTTTACGCACATACGGTGATATATTTTTGTTTCTAGTTGTGCCTACTCTCAATCTGCTCTTGTTTTCTTTTTTCTTGTTATGTGCGTTTTTTTTTGCCTATATCAACGTTTTTAATTTTAAGAAAAACAAAAGAAATTTTATCAACTATTAACAGATAAAAAAATTTCTTTTTCTCTTATTTCGCAAGATATCAGTTAAACATTCCAACATGTACACAAATTTTATGCATGAGAATGAGAAGAAAATTATAGAGAAGATTAAAATATTATCAAAGAATCCATTCATATTCGTAAAGACATTATTATGGGCACAGCAGAATCGAAAGGTAATCATCGACATAGAACAAACAAACGTCATCGTTATAACAATGACATAGCTATAATTCATAAATGTCAACATAAGAAAAGACAATTGGAAGAAACATTAAATGTTGCCAATAAAAGTTTATCAAAAGAAAACAATGAAACAATTGGTGGGTGATTCTTGGTCTTGAAAATGTTTCAGAATATAATTTTCTTTTTGCGTCTTTTATTTTTATAATTAGCACCACTTGTAAGTTCATCGCCATTGAATCCTCGTTTGCAAGGTTCAATATTACATCATTCATTTCCTATGCAACGATCTCATTCAGAGATTCGAATAACTCCTTATGAAATATCAAACAATGAAATAACAGGGTATACGAATTTTCTTTTCGTATATTCATGAATATCCTTTTATGCAATTTTTGTTAAATAATAGGAGTCTGAATCAATTCGATCATATTTCTTATGATTATCAAATACATATGCAACGTGTTGATGAAGAAAATCGTCCTGTATTAGAAAGACTTTGTCCTGATAAGATGTATGTTTCAACAAATGATCTTCGAATATGTGATACTCAGCAATTACCACCACCATTACGTTGTAAAATGACTCAAGGTTTTTTTCGACCTATTCCACCATCACAATTTTATCAAAAGAAAACTACATTAAATTCATCATTTCTTTAATAAAAAAAAGTACTAATCAATTTTTATAATTCTTCTGGTTTCTTTTCTTTTTTTTTCTAAATAAAACATTCATTTAAATAGTTATTATTTTTTTTATTTAATTCTAATTGCATACTTCAACGTGTTATTGGTAGCATATGCCATCCTTCTTCTGTTAAATCAATATCATCAGGTGATTTATAAAAATTCAATGCATCTGTATGCTAATCAGGTACATTAAAATAAAGTCAAACCCAGTTTGTAAAGCAGAAAAAAAATGCTTTCCCTATTCTTCATTTTCGAAAGTTTGATTGTACATAAAGATCATCAACATATAAATATTTTCCTTCTCCTGTTGAATAAACATTAAACACATTCAACAATACACAATAATGAACTAGTTAAATCTTATTAATAATTATTCAATATTACTTAACAAAAAAATATTCCGTTTAGGACTTTGAGCAACTAAAAAACTATATAATGAACGTTCATATAAAACATCTTGTTTAAGAACTAATTTATATAAATTATAAAATAAGAAATACATTCTTTTTTATCGTACTTTCATTATTAATTTGAACTTATTCAGAAAACTTTACAAACACAGCTGATTCCTAAGAAAAAATTCAATGAAAATATAAATGTTTCATTTTACACTAATTAGTCTTATCATTTCATCGCAATCTGTTTCGACAACATTACGAATTATTACACTCTCGTGCAGTGATATTAGTTGTTTTAACATAAAATTTTATATTAATATAATTAATGCGGTGCAAAGCACAGCATTCATGTAGTCGTGCGCGAGTTTTTGTTTAAGGTGCGAAGCATCTATATAGGACTGCGTCGCGAGTTTTCTTTATATATTTATTTATTTCTTACTAGGCATACGCATCTAAAGTTGACATTTTGTGTCGCATTGATCTTGAAAAGCGAAAATCAGAAAATCCTCGTTCAAGCGTGAGATGAAAACGTCGAGATCGAATCAAAAGCTCCTTTTTTTTCACTTTTCGTTATGTTATCCCGTTCGCATATAAATTACGTCCAAAAGAAACAAATTTTTCAGGACTTTAATTTTTTTCAAGCTTCGAGATAATTAAAACAAAAGTTAGGTGCCACTCTCTTTGCTCACATAAAAAACAGTTGTAAGTACAGCTGATGGCATATAATGAATCATATCGACAATGTTCTTCAGAAACATGTTGGCAAGCTTTCATAGAGTTCTCGCAGTGATGAAATCTCTAAAGGCTACTTTTTAGTTTGTATCAGATTTTGAGCAGCTGATTGAAGGAAATCCAACTTTTTCGAGATACGACGATCGACAGAAAATTCCGCTTTCGATGAAGAGAAACAACTTTAAGAGAAACACCATTTGAGTTTGTCTCGAGAATCGATTTTTCGTTTTTTAAAGAAACTCGATAATTTCACATAGACGATATTCATAATTCGCATCTTCTCTCGTTTACTTTCTCGAATATGCATCACAAGTCGTCATTTTGTGTCGCGATGATCTCGAGAAGCTAGAGTCACAAAAAAAAACACTTGAAACGCGAGGTACAAATATCAAGATCGAACTGCTGAAATATTTTTTCCATTCTTTAACCGAACATTCTGTTCACTCATAAATATCGTTCCAAAAAGATGAATTTGACAGGACTTAGAGCTTCCTTCATTTCGAGATAATTAAAATGAAAACTTTAAAAAAGTTAGGAGCCACTCTTTTTTCATATATACCAGGCAGCTGTGAATACAACTGGTCATAGATAATGAATCATACAGATAATTAAACGATCAATCGAAATCGTCCTTCAGAAAAGTGTTCATAGGCTTTCATAGAGTTCTCGTGGCGATGAATTTTATTATGGTGCTTTTTGAAGTTTCTCATGACTTATATCAGCTTGACACTTAAAGAAAGTAATTTTTCGAATTCAAATGATGCAGAGAAATGTGTATGCTCCATAGTCTGTACACAATTCAACTGAAAGTGATGATTGCTGTTAACTTGACACTCAAATTTTCGTTTTCTAAAAAATATCGTTTTTTCGAAGATTCAAGAGATTCGTGCTTCGCACCGCATTTCGTATTCTAGTTTCGACTCGAATACCATTTAGTTCTTTCTTTCTTACTTGACGTACACATCGAAAGTTGTCATTTTGTGTCGCGATGATCTTGAGAATGAAAAATCAGAAAAGCCTCGTTCAAACGCAAGATGAAAATATCGAGATCGAATCGTTCCATTTTGTTTTCCTATATTCATTAGATCATGCCGTTTATTTATAGATAGCTTCCAAAAACGGCAAATTTTTATTGACTTTGTTGCTTTTCAAGATTCGAGATAATTAAAATGATCAATCGATATCCTTCTATAGAAACATGTTCGTATGCGTTTATAGAGTTTTCGTAGTGATGATTTTTATCATGGCTACTATTTAGCATGGTCTTAACTTTTATCAGCTGATTGACAGAAGCGTAGCATTTTCGATTCTCAACAATTGACAGGAACGTCTTAGCTCGGTAGAACGTGAACAGCTCGACCAGAAACACCAGTCAGCATTGATCTCAGACTCGATTTTTTGTTTTCATCAGATATCGTTTTCACGAAATATTGAGATTTGTGCTTCGAACCGCATTTCATACTCGAGATTCTCTCGAATACCATCTAGTTAGTTGTTAAAATTTTCTTTTCTCGGTTGGATTTTTTTTTTTTGTTTTTTCTTTGTTTTGCTGTCAGTGGATGTATCTATATCATTTTATACATTCTTTTCTCTTATGAATTCAGTTATGTGTGTGTTTTTTTTCTTTCAATGTAGCAGTTAGGCTAAAAAAGAAAGAACTAAATAATGTCCAATTTGTATTATTTAAACAATAGATATATTGATTGTTCTGTAATTGGTTTCCTTTTCTTGAAGTTAAATAAACCCATATTCAATTACCATCTATTTTCTCATGAATAGTTACGATAGAGAAAAAAACATCGAACACAAACTCGTTTGTTTCATTTTTATTTGTTATAGTATCTTGCATTGGTTTTGTAACTGTTCTTTATCTGCTTTTGGTTTTATATTAACAATTGAATTAGATTTTGTTGAAATAAGTAACTATTGTTGTAAAGGAATGATTGGTAGTCCACTAAAAAATGATTTATTCTCTAGCCTAGTATTTCCTATCAAAAAATTATATTGGTTGATAAGTCAAGATTTTTTTCTACTTGCCACTAGCACTATTGTCACTCGATGATAATAATGATGATGTTATTATCGGCTTCTTTTCTTTTTCTTCTTCTCCCTGATTCTTTACTATCGATTCCGAAGAAGCATAGGCTTTGAACATTTTTTTTTCTTTTGTATATTAATAATGTGTAACATCTAGAACAAAATGAATGCTGTTGTCAGCATTCATTAATATCATGTCATATAAAAATAGGTCATCTATTCCATCTAAATCGATTATAAAGAACAAGGCTATAGTTAGGAGATCTAAGTCTTCATTTTAGATAAAATATTACTGAATAGAAGAAGAGAGTATGGGAAAAACATTTCGCAATAACTTACAACATGAAATTTCTTCTTTTTTCTTTATTAACTTCTGACTGTAGACCTTATAGAAAAGGGAAAAAAAGATATTTTGCGCGTGTTTGTCATTTACTGTCAAATAATAACAATAATATACCTCATGAACATGTTAGCGTTCTATGTCTCTAAAAATAACTAGACGATCAATTTAAAGAAAACAAAAACAAACAAAAAATGTTCGTGATAGTATAATGGTCAAGAGATAGTCTAAAGGTAAAAAATCACAATTGATGTTTCTATTAGTTCATGATTTTTTGTCTACTAAGATAGTCTCTTTTCAAGTTCTTGTCTATAAAATTGAAATATTTGTCGAGGTATTGCTTTAGCTATAGAAACAGCTTGATCAAATAAATTCATATCAAATTCTCCACTTGCATGCATTGTTAATCTATCATTTTATGTTATTTCAAAAACAAAATAAGTTGTTGGTGCCAACTCATCTTTTGTTTTTTGGTAATGATAATAAACCTTGTGACGTATGTTGAACAATTGGTACAGCTGCCAAAGCATATTTCATTGGTAAATTAGCATCAAGCATTGTTCAACAAAGTGTATTACATAGACATGCAAGTATTATTGCTTCACTAGATAAATTTTATTCTTCATACATAACTATATTTAATTGTCAATGTGGATAATGTTCAGTTAATACAGTTGAATGAACTAATGTTTCAAGCCATTGTTCAATAAGCTTATCTTTAATTGCTGTTGAATTTGTATTGTTATTACCTGGTCGTGCTTGAAATGTAATATCAACTTGAAGGCGACTAGTTTCATTTTGTTGTAATTGTCAAAGTTCACTAGGTTCATTAAGAAGACATGTACATAAGGGCCCGTCCACGTAAGCCACGACCGACAGTGCTCAATCGATATCCTTCGATTCAGTTCATTTAAAAATATGTGGTGGAGACAAGAGTTTGATGATTTTTGGCGAAAGTCGATTCAAAAGACATTGAACCCTCGATATTTTATCGAATTTTTACGAAGAGCACTATAAAACCCCATTATCATCGGAAAGGGATTTTGAGCGCACTTTATCTTAAGAACGACTCAACCTATTGGGTTGAAATTTTTTGCAGTTCCATACACCAACAAGTTCTACGCATGTGGCGTACTCTAGCAGCTCATATCTCCGCATTGAAAAATGATAGAGGTCTGACATTTTCTTTACAAATATATTGCAGTAAGATCTTGTCGCAGTAAAATTTTCAGCTCTGTTAAGAGAAGCGTTCGTCCTAGGTACTTTTGGCAAAATCGAGTTTTTTTGCAAAAATCCCGATTTTGGGTCTCAGTTTTCAAGAGGCATGACACCTGAAACTTTGCTCGAGTTGTCTACTCTGAAAGACTTAAGTGAGATCTACAATACGATGCAAAAACCAACTTGAGACACACAGAAATGGCTTTGAAATCGATTCATCTTTTTGGCAAAAAATGCAATTGATAGCTTTTCTTCTGGGTACCCCACCTTTTTCAGATTTCTGGAGAACCACTCATCAGAGAAAAGTGAGACTTTCAGAGCAAATAGATCTCGGATAGTCGAGTAAAATTTGCGCTAGGTCCAAGTGTGCACAATGCTTTCATCGGTGAGATACCCAGATTCCAATAGATCAAAGGTTCGTTCGTTAATTAAAAGAAAAGTTTCATCCCAAGAAATTAGCTCTACCCACTATTAATCAGTACACGAGCCCCGTTTGATTTCTAAAAAAAGTCCTTTGAAAACGAAAAAAACTATTTTTTTAAAAATTCCCATACTCCCTCCCAGGGCTTTTCATGGAAACGTGTTTTTCTCAAATCTCTCTACCCCCTACGGGAATTTTCAAAAAAGTTTTTTTTTTCATTTTCAAAGGACTCTTTATTAGAAATCAAACCAGGTTCGTGTGCTGATTAATAGTGAGTAGAATTTATTTCTTGGGATGAAACTTTTCTTTTCATTTACAAACGACTTTTTGACTCACTGGGATCTGAGTTTCTCACAGATGAAAGCATTGTGAAAAAGTGAGTCTAGTGCGAATTTTTCTTGATTATTCGAGATCTATCGGCTCTGAAAGTTTCACTTATTTCTGATGAGCCGTTCTCAAGAAATCCGGGAAAGGCTGGGTACCAAGAAGAAAAGTTATCAATTGCATTTTTTGCAAAAAAGATGAATCGATTTCAAAGCCGTTTCTATTTGTCCCAATTTGATTCTTCCTTTACATTGTATACCCAAGTCTTTCAGGCTAGACAATTCGAGCAAAATTTCAGATATCACGACTCTTGGAAACCGAAGTCCAAAATTGGGGTTTTGTCCAAAGTACCCTGGATGAATGGTGTGCTCTAGAGACCTAAAATTTTTTAGGCAATAATATCTCATCCATATATGTTTGTGAAAAGAATTTCAGCCCTCTATCGCTGTTCAGTCAGGAGATATGAAGTACCAAAGTTGGCTGAATTAGTGACTTTTTCCTTCAATAGGGACATCCATAGAATACCAAGAACTCAATCGTTGAATCTGAATTTTTTTGTATGTGCAGATCTTATTGGTCTATGAATCCACAAAATATTTTCGCTCCATTGGTTGAGTCATTCTTGAGATATAGGGTACCCAAAATCGCCTTGGGTTAAAGTGGGATTTTATAGTGCGATTCATAAAAACCCGATAAAAAATCGAGGGTTCAAAATTTTTTGAATCGACTTTCGTCAAAATTCATCAAACTCTTACCTCTGTTACATGTGTTAAAGTGAGACGAATCGGAGGATATTGACTGAGCAGATCCTACAGCAATCAGCCGTGGCTTACGTCGACTGGCTCATAAATCGAATTCAGGACCAAAAGTGTTGGATCTGGTGGACTCTATTGACGATTGATTCTTCGAAACTATGACTCTTTAATAATGGTTGAAATGTGTTACCAATTATGACAAGATAAATACCAAAGAAATAAATTCAACAATGAAAATATTGTTAGCACTAAGGCTCTATGGATATTAATCGTTATAACGATTTTTCCTCAACTAGATTTGAGGTTGCTGAAATATAATTCAGGAAATGAATGAAATGCAAAAATATTAATGCTTCTCTTGTTATAGCAGTGCATCTTTAGTTCGAAGAGCAAACACTATCCTTTCTTTGATCAAAGTTAGAAAACAAAGAATGTTCATAAATATGGATTTTTTAGAAGATTATGTAGTTGTCTCACTATTATAGTAACTTTTTGGGTCAACATAATTTTTGTGTTATTCTTTATCTCAACTTCTCTCCAAATCGAATCTAAATCGAATAATTCACAAAATGCTATTTTATTTAATGAATTAATTTCATTTGCTTTATTTAAAACTAAAAGAATATTTTTTTTGGTTTAATTGTTGTTTGTTCACATATTTCTTTTAATTGTTCAAATGTAAATGAAATAGTCCATGATTGTGTTGAATCAATAACATAAATTATTTTTCTCAAAATGTATACTCATGTAAATTGATTTCCATAAACAATCTAATGTTGCACCAAGTTCATGTAAATCAAATAATTGATTTCGTTTATACTTCATTGTTGTTATTGTTATATCAATAGTTGTTGTTGTATAAAGAAATTCAACATTAATTATTTTTGATGATGATGAACAGATATCATCTAAACGTTTTATTAAAAGACTTTTCCACTTCAACGACTTTCAGGTACACGAATTTTTATTGTTAATATATCAGACATAAATCTATAATGAATCAGTAAAAAAAACCCTAATAAAATCTCTTGACTATTAATTTTTTTGTTTTATTTTAGAAAACAAAACAATGTAAATCTTTACAACACTTATATATGTCCTAGAAAACAAAAACGAGTTCTTGTAATAATTGCAACAAAAGATGCTGAAAATTTTTTTTTTCTTGTTTGAGTAAAAAAAACAGAAAATACAGATATAGACAAACAAAATGAAGAAAAGATTTTGTTTGTTTTTTTTTCAACTAATCATACATTTAGGAAAAAAAATAAAACGGACATTAAATTAATTCTGATTGATTGTTACTGATTCAGCAATACTACCACCCAACCATTTATTTGACTATCACAAGATAAATATGAAGGTGGTGGCATTGTTGAAATAGATGAGTACGATGGTGGTAGTGCAAGTGATTGAGATTGAGATTGTTCAACATTTGGTGTTGGATTTATTTGAAATATGTTTGCTTTTGGCCAAAAATGATTACATTGATTATGATATTTTTCTAGAATTGAACATTCAATTGGACCGTAATCACCTAATTGCATATTTTCATAGATATTTGAATATAACTGAATAAATAGAAAATATATCGAATAGAAATTTTTAAAAAAGTGCTGACTTGTAGATTTTGATCGATAAAACTTTGATCTACTGTTGTAAGAAATTCAATAGCTTTTAGATTATTCATCGAATTAATGAGAAGCAACACTCTTCGGCTAAAAAAATGAATTTGAATGAATAACTAGGTTCATAAAAGATATTTACCTTCAACACGATGAATTAAGGAATTTGAATGATTTTTAATAAATTCACTATTTAATTTTTTTTTTATTGAATGTTTTTGTTTAAATTAAAATTTTTTTAATTCATTATCAATTAATGTTCGTAGTCGTTCATCGACTATAGGTTCATCTTGAAGTGAAACAGAAAAAAAACAAAGATTTATCAAATAAATTCTTTGTTTAATTTTTCTTCTTTTCGATCTAACCTAGTTTGTGAAATTTCATTAGACATGAATGAAGTTTTGCATTGTTTGTGTCTAATTTTTTCATTCATTTTAAACTACGTAACATTAATAAATATTTTTCGGAAAGAAAATCATTGTTGTTGATCGGTTTTTTTTTGCTTTTTTATTAAAGTCTCTAAAAACTTTCGTCAATAATAAACTTCAAAACCTAAAACATTTTAAAGATAAAGAATTAAAGATGACACTAGATGGCATTTCAAACTAGAACAATACAACGAAAAAACAAGTTTTTGCTAAACGAAAAGTTAATAAATTATTAAATTATTCTTGGCTCTTCAAAACTGCAACTAATGATGAATAAAATTTCATATTTCTTATGAAACAAAGTCTGAAAGACTTGAGAATTCGATTAGTATTTTTCTTTCTTACAAGTATATTTGAAGAAATAATACAAAAAGCAGCTCCCGTGTTCTTTTTCAACAACAAAGTTTTTCAATAACTTCTCCGTCGCTATGTTACAGAACAAATAACTATCTGTGAGTTTGCGAACTTTTTTTCCTAACTACTGAAACTTTCAAAATGTCACAATTGCGCTTGAATAGATTAATACATCAATCAATATGATAAACATCATTAGGGTTACTTCAATACCATAGATTATTTATGCATAGAGTTCTCAATGATGCGTTTGATTATTACCCAATATTCTTTATTTTTAATGTTTATCTACAACATGATTCTCGGTTATGTCGAGCTTCCCAAAATGCTCGATTTTCTACCAATTTATGATAGTTTCGTAAAAAAATGTCGCTGCGAGGTGAATAGGATTGGGAAAGGAACGATCTGGTGATAGATCATCTATGTAGGATGGACCAAACGACAGTGCCTTTCGTTCTTCTCTCTTCCTAGTCACCACTTCTAGCACTCCAAGGGTGAAAGTGCTTGCTGCCGAAGTTTTAGTCTTTTTCATCCGAAAAAAATATTCATAATTCTGATCCAGAAATATATCTATTATTTAATTTTGAGAAGAAGCAGCAAGAATATCCCTACCTTTTTGGCTATCTCACGGTATAGAATCTTGCCTAACGGCAGATTCAAACAGCCTGATATTTTCTCTACAACTAATACCAGCTGTCGCTCTCAACGGACAACCAATCTGACGCAGAGTTCTTGAGTTCAATTGCTTGAGCTTCCTATCTGCACTAACTAATCATAAGAGCAGATGTGTGTCACAACGTAATCAGTATGCTATCGAACTGGTGATTCGAGATAAATAGCGGTTACTCACTTGTCTAGGCTCATTTCATGACTGGTGGTACTGAGATTTGAAAAGAGTACTTAACGGATACGTGTCAGACACTCCAACCATTCAGCAATAGCAGTTTCCAGCGTGAAGACTACCCCTACAGAAGCTTATAATTCTTGTAACATGTACCGTGTGTCTGTGCTTCCAAAAATCAGTCGTTCCTCTTCTGAAGCTTTTAATTGTTCCTCCAGTAAAGAAGATCTGAATAAAACACTCGCCTGTCTACAAAATTATTTTAATAAATCGTGCAAACGAATATTATTCATTCAAATTAAAATATACAAGAGCAATCTATATAAAAGGACATAATTATTCCTAGATTGTTAATAAAATAATACGTATAAATGGTCTTTTTCTTTTTCAAAAAAGAAATGAGGATTCAATTACAGTTGACAGTAAAGTTTGTGTTATTTTCAATGAGCTCATCCAAAATCTTAAACAAATAAAATTCCATAAAAACGCATGAATAAAAGAAAATATTTTGACATGATATAAAATTTTCAGCAAAGGTGAAGTTATATAAAATAAATGTTGACAGTTAATTTAAAAAACGAAAAGAATAAGATTAAGCAATTGTACATATGTTGTTTTGCTTCAAATTTAGAACGTTCTCGAAATGCATTTTGTTTTTGTTACGATGATAGAAACGCACGAGGATTTTTTATGATCTATTTCAGTTCGTTCTATAATAATCAATGATAAATTGCGCATAAAGAATAACTTTTGGCATTTTTATTTCGTATTGCTATTCATTATTTCGCTTGTTTCTTAGCATTTATTGACGATAAAAAAAAATCTCTTACGCTATTGGATATCTGTTACAAGCGACGTGTGGAAATAAAAAGAACCTATATATATATATTCGTTGCTTCTCTCTAAAACATAAACGATAATCAATGAATATACGTCATTTTCGAAAAGAATTAATAAGTGTTCTTCATTTCATCCGTCACAATTTATAAAAAGAGAAGGTGAGCAAACATAACATTGAAAGAGAAGAAAAAGAAACACTGATGTATAGGTTACAAATAGTGAAAGAAGAGAATTTTCGATCCTTTCACTATGTGCATGCAACAGAGCAAGAGAAAGAAGGTGTATATGTAGAAGTAACAGAGATCGCTGTATGGGTACAACATAAAAAGAACGGACGAAATAAGAGACAGTTTGATATGTGTTGACTTCACTATGCATCATTATTATTCAGTTGTCTTTGCAGATAAACTTACGAACGTAATACGATAAGTATTCATTTTTATAGATAAACGATGGCTATCACTAAAAAGCAGCAAATTCGTGGTATAAGAATTTTATTAACTGTTTTCTATGGATTTCTTCTATCAAGTATATTATTTCGTTATATTATTCATGGAATTGTTGAGACAATTCGACGACCAACGAATCCATATGCTATTATAATGCTTGTTCTCGGCACTCTTATTCTTATTTCAATTGCTTTAGCAATTTATGCTACATGGTATGTAATCGATTTTTTTTCTCTATAAGACTTTACTGTTTGTTATTGAATAATTCTCAATTTAGGTTTGAGAATACGATAATACAGTTAGTATCTGGTATTGTGCTCATATGTGTATTTATTTTAACACTTGTTTTTGGTATTGTTCGTATTATTAAAACGGCACCTCTTCGTGTAGTTACTGCAACAGTTGCTTCAAATGGTATGATTGATGGTGATGAATCATTAGATGCAGCTCAAGCAGGATCAGTAAAGAAGGCTACAGTCACAACGGATACTTATGCTCTTATTGAAGATATAACGAAATTAATCATTGAATTGATAGCAATTCTTTTTGCTATTCTTGCAACATTTGTTTTATTTCGTTATGTTAAAGCAAAATATGCTGAAGTACCGACAAATGAACCAAAAGCAGCAACTTCATCATAAACAGAATTAATTTTTTCACAATTGACATTTGTTTTCTGCCGATGTATAGATTTTTTTTTCTTATTAAGATCTCAGAGACGAAATGACTGACTTTCTTTTTCTTTTTAAATAAATTTCAAAAATAATCTATTGGCTTTTGAATGTAGTAAAATACTTTTTCTCATTACTATATGAAAAGAAATTTCTTTATAATAATTGTAAACAGAGTACAATAGAAAATATAAATATTATTAAAGTAATATGTTATTTTTTAGGTCTAAGAACCATATTTATAAGAAAAAAATGCGAATGTAACAATAAAAAAAACAACATGCATTTAATAGATATGTTTAATTCGATAAATTCTCTTAGGTTACTAAATATTAATTGCAATAAATGTTTTTTAGAATAAATATATATCTAAGAATATAGAATATAAACTATATTAACCTTAATCACAATAAAGTGGAAAGAAAATATATTCTAGGTAAATGTTGAAATGATTTTCATTTTGTTTATCTTGTTTGAAGACAATACAATAGTTATTAGATCATTTCGATATATTTTAATATGAGAATTCCTTTAGTAAGATAATATATTTCATGAAATGTTGGAACAATTCTCATCTTGATAGTAATAGAAGTATGTAGTATATGTTCAGCCTTCATGATGGATTATACTCTTTTCATATATAGTATGAGTAACTGCACAAGTGAGACTATTTGATTTAGTAGGATTTTATACGTGTTCTTTAGATTACCTTTGTTCTTTTTCATAGAGTGTAAAATATTATGAATGGAATGGACATGTACCGAGATCATCGTAGAGTGTTAAGAACCAGTCTACATGAGCCACGAGCGACTTCTGCAGAAGCTGTTTAACAGAGGTCCTAGGACTTTGCTCGATTTATGATGTGTTGTAAAGCGAAGACTTTTAAGCATTGGAATTAAAACCGTTTGAGAAATTATCGTTTCATTCTCAAGTTAATCAAATGTTTCGGAGAGTACTACCGCGATCAAAGTACATTTTTAATAATTTTTTTTGTGACATGAATATCTCACGAAAAATACATCCTTTTTGAAATTTTTACTGTACATACTGTATCAAGGTAATGTAATTATCATAAAGGAAGAAATGAGTTCAAATGAGTGAAATATTAATGAGGTGATCGACGATACTCGGCTCTCAACAAAATGACCATTTTCAGTGTTTTCTGGATATATATATATAAATCATAAATGGATCATGTTAGAGAGCTGAAATGAAAGCTATAGAGCAATTTCATTGACTAATTGTCGGCTACTATCGCATAGTAGGTGAATATGTAATTTTTATGCTTGGGAGGGATTTTTATTGCTGAGAAATGGTTATATATGACTTAGAAAATTATTTTTAAGAAAGTAAACCATTTCGCGAAAGACAAACTTTCCACAAAAGTTGCCGATAAGGGAGACTCTTGCCACATTTAAAAAAAAAAACGTTTTGTTCGGAAATATATTATTGCACACATCGTTCAATGTTGTTTCACGCACT